AAAACTATTACCCACCTGGCAGCATACATAGTTATTACAATATTATTGACTGTATATTCCTTATGCTATACTTTACACCCTTGTGAATATTTTGTAAACCAATTTGTACTTCTTAATCCCTTCCTCCTTTTTACCTGTTCCCCTAAGCCCCACCACATCTGGCAACCATGAAAATGTTCTCGGTGTCTATGAGTTTGTTTCTGTTTTGTTCATTTGTGTATTTTGTTTTTTACCATATAATTTCACTCCTATCTGAAATCCAATGTACAAACTGAACTAACATGCAAAATAGAGACAGACTCAAATATAGAGAGCAAGCTGACAGCTCTTGAGAGCATAGTGGTGGGAGGTGTGGAGGGATTGAGCAAAAAAGGAAAAAAAGAAAAAACTCACATACACAGACAACACTGTAATGATTGCTGGTGGTGGGGCAGAGGTGTAATCGGGTATAGGGGAATGAATGGTGATGAAAGGAGACTTGACCTGGGGTGGTGAACACACAGTACGGTGTACAGATGATTTGTTGTAGAATTGGGTACCTGAAACCTTTATCATTTTGTTAACCAGTGTTACCCAAATAAACTCAATAAAAAGAAAATTTAAAAAAAGATTTCACATATAAGTGAAACCATATGGCATTTTTCTTTCTCTTTCTGATTTAACTTCACTCAGCACAGTACCCTCTAGGTCCATCTATTTAGTTACAGATGGCAAGATTTCATTATTTTTTATGGCTGAGTCATATTCCATTGTGTATATGTGCACTATTTCTTCTTTATCCACTCATCTGTTGATGGACACTGAAGTTGCTTCCATATCTTGGCTATTGTAAATAATGCTGCAATGAACATGTGGATATGTATGTATTGGTTTTCTCTGGATAAAAACCCAGAATTGCTGGATCGTTCTTTGTCTTTTGTTATACCCTTTGTTTTAATCTATTCTGTAATATTGTTACCCCAGCTTTTTTAAATTCTCATTTCCATTGTGAATTTCATATGAAATACCTTTTTCCATCCCTTTACTTTCACCCTGTATGAGTCTTTCTATCTGAAGAGCCTCTTGTAGAAAGCATATATAAGGGTTTTTGTTTTCTTATCCATTCAGCCACCCTGTGTGTTTTGATTGGAGCATTTAATCCATTTACATTTAAAGTCATTGTTGATAGATATTTATTGCCATTTTATTAGTCATATTTTTAATCTTTTTTTCTTTTTCCTAAAGAAGTCCCTTTACTATTTCTTGTAGTACTGGTTTAGTGGTGATGAACTCTGTTAGCTTCTTCTTGCTTGGGAAGATCCTTCTCTCTCATTTGATTCTAAATGGTACCTTTACTGAGTAGTGTTATCTTGGTTGCAGGTCCTTGTTTTTCATCACTTTTAATGTCTCATGCCTGTCTCTTCTGGCCTGCGAGTTTCTGATGAGAAATCATCATAAACTGCAGATTTTCTTGCATCTTATGGGAGCTCCTTTGTAGGTAACTGCTTTTCTCTTGCCGCTTTTAAGATTCTTTGTCTTTAACCTCTGGCATTTTAATTACGATATATCTTGGCATGGGCCTCTTTGGGTTCATCTTGTTTGGGACTCTGTGCTTGCTGGGCTCATATATATATATTTCCCTTGCTAGGTTAGGGAAGTTTTTTGTCATTATTTCTTCAAATAGGTTTTCAGTTCCTAGCACTCTCTCTCCTTTCTGCCAACCCTATGATGCAAATGTTAGTATACTTGATGTTGTCCCAGAGGCCCCTGAAACTAACCTTATTACTCTTTTTGTCATTCTGATGGGGTGTTTTCTCCTACCTTATCTTACAAATTGCTGATTCAGTCCTTTGCTGCCTCTAATCTATTTCATCTAATTCATCTAGTTCAATTCCTCTAATATCAATTTCATCTAATGCATTCTTCATTTCAGTTATTGTAGTCTTCATTTCTGAGAGGTTCTTTTTTGTTTGTTTGTTTTCTGTCTCCATTTTTGTGTATGATATCTTTTTGTCGAAGCTGTTGCCCAGATCATTGAGCATCCTTATAACCAGTGTTTTGAACTCTGCATCTGGTGGGTTGTTTATCTCCATGTAGTTTAGTTCTTTTTCTGGAGTTCTGTCTTTCATTTGGGACATGTTTCTTTGTGTCCTTGTATTGGCTGCCTTTCTTCATGTATTCTTTCTATGTATTAGGTAGAGCTGCTACATCTCCTGGACTTTGCAGTGTGGCCTTCTGTAGCAGGTGTCCTATGGGATCCAGTGGTGCAATCTTCCATGTCACCTGAGCCTGGTGCTCCAGGTGTGTCCCTTGTTTGTGTTGTGTGTGCCTTCCTCTTATAGTTGAGACTTGATTGCTGTTGGCCCATCAGTGGGAGGGATTGACCCACAGGCTCAGGTTGTGAGGACTGGCCGTGCTCACAGTGGAAGAGCTGTTGCGTAGGGGTTGATCCTGCGGAGCTGAATTTGCTTTTGCTTTGACAGGCTCAGGCTCTGGTGCCCGCCAAGCTTGCACTTTGAGTGTGTCCTTTGTGGAGATACTCTTGTCTGAAATTGGCTACCATGTTCATTGGTTTTGGGGCCTCTTGGGAGGTGTACGCCAAGGTCAGCTGTTGCCTGTGCCTTGCCTGGGGCTAGTTGGTAGGAGCTACAAAATGATCTGCACATGGTTGCTGCTTGTTCTGGTGCCTGTGAAAGACTAAACTGTGAACGGAGGCTGGCTGCCATTAGTGTCTGGCTTGGGGCTGCTTAGCAAGAGGTTTGGGGTACACAGAGGCCAGGTGCTGCTTGTTTGGGGTTTGTGAACCTTTGAGAGTTTTTCGGAGAGTCTGCAGCATAGACAGATTGCATGGAAAAGCTACTGGAAGCGACTTGGATGGGGAACAGTGTTAGCCAGGTTAATGGAGACTCAGAGATGGCTCCCACCTGCACCTGCAGAGGGAGGGCTTAGCAAAAGAACAACAGCTTCTGCTAGTACCTCTGTCTGGGAGGAAGCTACCCCTCCAGCCCTCGCCCTGAAGCTAGATGTTTCATTTTCTCCCCTAAGTCCCTAGTACCTTTCAAGCTGCTTGTCCAGCACTGAAGGTTAGAACAAGTGAATCTAAGTAAGTCTGTGAGCAGGTTCTTTAAGAGGAACTTCTTGGGACTTCAGAAGCCCTCTGTCTCCCTCAGCCACAGTCTTCACTGGTCTTCACAGCCAGAAATTATAAAGACTTCTCTTCTAGGCACTGGAGCCATGGACTCAGGGGCCTGGTGTGCAGCTGGGAACCCTTACTCCTCAGGGGAAACCTTTGCAGCTGAATTTTCCCTTCCAAGTTTTAACTGCCACATGCGGATGTAGGACCTGCTGGTTCCATATCTCTGCCCCTCCTACCAGCCTTGATCTGGTTTCTTCTGTGTATCCTTAGTTATAGGACATCAGCTAGTCTTTGGGCCATTCTCAATGATGATTGATCTGTAGTTCAGTTGTAATTTTGATGTAGTTGGGGGAATAGGCAAGTCTGGCATGTACCTGCTCCACCACTCTGATAGGAATCTGATATTTTTCTTAACCATAAAGGCAACTTTACTGTTAGTTTTCTTTATAAAAATGGATAGAATTTCATTTTAGTTCCTATATTAGCTTCTTAGTTAACATCCTTGGCGGGGTGGGGCTGAGGGTTGCTGTCTCTAATCTACTATCCAATAGACAACTTTAAAGCAGTTGTTCTATAGATTGCAGCTATTCTTTACCTTTTTATAGTGTGCTTTTAGTTAATACTATATAATTTCTTGTAAAACAAAGAAAACTTGCTCAAATATAGTTTTATTTATCCCTGATACTTATTCTTTATGCTGTAATTTTCATGTTACATTTACATATTGTATAGACCCTGCATACAGTGTTAATGAATTTTCCTTTAATTAGCCATGTATTTTTAAAATAATGAGGGGAAAATGTAATCTTACCATTTTTGTGCTCCTTATTTTTTTCTTGACTATTTCCAGATAAAATGTGTCTGAACTCAGTGTTCAAAATTTTATCCTCCTTATAGTGTATAGGTAGCATCAACAGAAATCTCTGTTCCATTCCTTCAGCATTAACTGGGCTGCTTGGAATCTTCCCCATATGTACATATTTCAGAGGTTTGAGCAGAGTCAATATGCAGAATACGAGGCTCCCCTTCTATACTTTATGGGATTTTCCCCCTTTACTTTCTAGATTTCTGTTGCTCATTAGAACTTTCTGTGGTGATAAATATGTTCTATAATATGCCCTATTCACAATGTGGTAGCCATTTGCCACATACAGCTGTTGAGGACTTGAAATGTGGCTGGTGTGCCTGGGGAATGGAATTTTTTATTTTAATTCATCTCCATTTAATACAAATATTCACATTTGTTTAGTGGATACTGTTTTGGATAGACTGTCATTGCAAAAAGTTCTGTTGGGCATCACTGTTCTAGATGTTGTGGTTATCTTGAACTCTGTCTTTATTTCTCTCAGCAAATAAGGCTACAGGTTTCTGTCTAGGTTTGAGCTGACTTACATAGTCAGATTGGAGTCATAGCTCAGCTCAGGTATAGAATGTAGGAAGCTCAAAGCAGTGCTTTCTAGTTTTTCCTCATGTGAACTCCCTTCCAATTTGTACCTGATTTTGATTGCTCTCAGGGCCTTCAAGTAGTTGTTTTGTATATATTTTTCTTAGAGTTTATAATTATATCAATTATATCTGTGTCCAGTAAGAATTGCTTCACCATTTACCAGAAGTTGAACTCTACTTTTTAAAAATCATTTTAGTAATGATTTAACTTTAAGGAATTAATTTTTTTTTGTGCTTTGTCATCAGAATTTGCTTTCCAACCACTTATTATCCCATCCCCTTTAACCTTACTAAAAGTATCATGAGCCTTTAAGGTTACTGAATCTTAATATTTTAAATTTGATATTTCCATCTCAGATATGCTAGAATTTAATGGAATTCTTCAAAGCAGCAAACTCATATCGTTGATAACCTGTTCGGTATACCTTGCCTTTTCTAGGTACCTGAAAAGGTTTAAGGTGATGAAGATCAAAGTTCTAAGAAGCTGGTGCCGACAGATCCTTAAAGGACTTCAATTTCTTCATACTCGAACTCCACCTATTATTCACCGAGATCTTAAATGTGACAACATCTTTATCACTGGCCCTACAGGCTCCGTCAAGATTGGAGACTTAGGTCTGGCAACCCTGAAGCGGGCTTCTTTTGCCAAGAGCGTGATAGGTATGTTTCAAGTGTACCTTGCAGACTAACTGGCTTTCTGACATTCCTTTTATTTAGAAGCTGGGCCCTGTCAGAGCTTTTATTACATAAAAAAACCTTCAAAAATTTATAATTTGAACTTAGGAAGCAATAAGTTCTACTTATAAGATAGGTAGTTCTCTATCCTAATGCTTCTAGAGTCATCTTGAAGACTATCAGTGTTTTTGTAAATTATATAAAGAAAAGTAAAGTAAACTCTTAACAAAATTTTACATAACTATCAATCTTAGTAGATCATTCTATTGCTATTTAGTATTACATAATTACATAATAGTGTGTTTTCTACATAAAAGAAACGATTTATATGTATTTTAGTTTTTCAAATTGTCTGTTGGATATATATGTATATTTAAAAATATCTGTCTATTAAGACTTTCTTTTAATATGTGAAAATACGAGTTCATTCTGAAAGTTTGGTTTTTATCAACTTTTTCCTTACTCCTACTCTTCAGAAGATAGGATATATCTGAAACAGAGTTTTTCAGCTTAAATACTATAATGTTTTGGGTTAGCTGGGATTTTTGTTTTAAGGGCTTGTCTTGTACATTGTAAAATTATTTAGCAGCATCTCTGGCCTTTACTCACAAGATGCCAGTAGCACACCCTCTATCCCCTGCCTAGTTGTTACAACCAAAAATGTCTCTGGAAATTGCTAAATATTAACCTTACAGCTACCATACAGTAGGGGGCAGACAAGTATTTTGATCTTTTTTAACCCATCATCCTTACAGGTAGATACCATTATATTCACTTTATTCCTTGTTAGTTTCTTACCGTTTCCTTTCATTTGTTTTGTTATGAGTTATATCAGCTTATCTTTTATCCAAGTCTCTATTTTGACTTTGTACAACAATAATCCATTTTGAAATAGTAAATAAAGACACTTGACCTTGTTCTAGTTTCTTCTATAAAGGCCTTGCAGTAGAAGACCTCTAAGATAATTGATAAACAGACTAAGATTTTGTTCCTCTTCCTAATTCCCCTCCCTTCTTTCCTTCTTCCACTTTATTCTGTCTCGCAGATCAACTTCTCTGCTTCTTCCCCAGGTGAGTAACACCTGCAGCTTTTACTTGTATTGAGTCTGAATCATTCTTTTAATTCAAGGCACCCCAGAGTTCATGGCCCCTGAGATGTATGAAGAGAAATACGATGAATCCGTTGATGTTTATGCTTTTGGGATGTGCATGCTTGAGATGGCCACGTCTGAATACCCTTACTCGGAGTGCCAGAATGCTGCGCAGATCTACCGTCGTGTGACCAGTGTAAGCCTTCCCCTCAATGACTCCTGAGCTTAGGTCACATTAAGAAGGAATCCCAAGATGTAGAACATCACACCATGCAGAAGGGAGCAGTAAGAGAGAGGATACTGAGATGCTGGGAGAAGAGAAAGTTGAGTTATTGATTGTTCATGATACCGTGAGAACAAACAAAGATCAAAGATGTACCAGTTTATCCTGGGCCCTCCTTGCATTCACTTAAATGTTCATTATAAGATGTCTAAGTTCTCATTTTCTCCCACTATAAAGGTTATTTTCAGAGTTAAAAATAATGCTCGTAGCCCTGACTGGTATGGCTCAGTTGGTTGGAGCATTGTCCTGTAAACTGAAAGGTCGAGGGTTCAATTTCCCATCAGGTCACATGCCTGGGTTGCATGTTTGGCATGAGAGGCAAACTGATTGCTGTTTCTCTCTGTCCCTTCCCCTCTAAGTATGTCCTCAGGTGAGAATTAAAAAAAAAAAAAAAAAGTAATGCTATTAAGCTGTTCTGTTCACAGACTTTTTGCCGAATGCTTTAAAATGGAGATACTAAATTATTAAATCATTTGTAAGTACCCCCAATGTTTAAGGTATAAATTAAAACCTTTTTCTAGTTTAAATTACACATGGTAATTCATCTCTGCCAAAAGAGAGATTTCCTAGAGTTGTCCAGTTGAAACCTGAAGCATAGTTGTTAGGTCTGTGATATAAAGCCCTGAAAGAAGTTTACTGTAAGAACGTGGAGGCTTTCCACAAAAGGCACAAAAGTTAAGCCAAGTAATTTTATTGAATATTTTTATAACTTTTTCTTTTATGAAAAATTGGTACATATATAAAAGTAGAGAGAATCATACAATGAATTCCCACTTATTCCATGCAACAGGAATATTAGGACCATTTTTGCTACACTGTCTTCATCTGTCCTCTTTCTTTGTTTCATTTTACCACTAAATACTTTGTTATGCTTCTGTAATAATTAAAGATTTTTTTTTCTTGTATAACCATATCATACCTAAAAAAATTAACAGTAATTTCTGGATCATTTAATATCCTACCTATACATATATTTTCTCTATTGTTTCAGAGATGTCTGTTTACAGTAAGTGTTCAAAATAGGGTCCATCAAGGTCCACAGAAGACATTTTGTTCTCTCTTTATCTAGAACTATTGCTCCCACTTTCTTTTTCTGTGCTCTATTGATATGTTGAAAGAATTGGATGAATTGTTTTGAGGCATGTTCCACATTCTGGATTTATTGATTTGCTTCCTTTTATGATGTCATTTAATTGTTATTCTACTCTTCTCCATTTTTGTAAACACAAATTTACTTTAAAGTAGTGGAGGGCTGTCAGTGATGTAAAAATAATTTTACTTTTTCACACATTCATACCAAAGTGTGCAGTGTAGTTTTCCAGAGGCCAAATGATGTGTGTCATCACAGCAGATTAAATACAGAAGCAGATATGACCTTCCATTTGTCTTCTTTTAAGGCATACATTTAAAGAGATTACAAAAATTTAAAACAATACTACATTTCTCACTGGGTTTTTGTTTTTTGTGTTTTTTTGGAAAATACTGGGTTTTTTATTTTAAGGGTTATTATTATCAACATTTAATGAGGTTTGTTATAATTTTTAATTAATACGTAAAAACTTTGCCAGCTTTAAATTTCTAATATGATAAATAGCAATAATATAACATATAAACAAAAGGCTTTGGGGTCCTTAATAATTTTTAAGGTATAATGGGGGTCCTAATAGAAACAAATTTGAAAACACTTACAAATATTAGGTAAAATTTAGGGTTTTTTTGCAAGAATAATACATGGTTCTGTGTATTTCATATTATATTACATCAAGAGGCACATAGTATCTAATTAACTCATTTTTAGAGATGCGATTTCATTGAATTTTGATATAAGATGTTATTATAAAGTGTTTATTTAGATTTGGATAGCTGATAAGAATGGTAATTTAGTATATTTCTAAAAACTTACAGGAAACATTTGCTTCCCGTAGATCAAATTAGTTCTTATATCTTCACAAAGTTTGGGAGGAATCTTTGATTACTTCATTAATTATAATTGCTGTAAATATTCCTATAACATCTTTTTTTGTATGTTTATATGAGTTGGCTGTGTGGTAGGTGTGGAACTGCTTTGGGCAGTTAATTTATTTTATTCAGCATGAATGGTAAGAACTATTAGGGTCTTTATACCCAATAAAAAGAAAATAGGTATTGTTTGTATAAAAAAGAGTATTACTCTCAAGTTATCCCTGACTTTCTAACAGTAGTGGTATTTTATCCGTTATTGTTACTGTCTCCAAGTCTCTCTCCTAAGGCCTTTATTATTTATCAGCCTCTTTTCAATGCCACATACACCATCCCACCCTGGTTTCTAATTCATAATAGGGCTCTCTGAAGCATTGATTTTCAACTCAGATTGGGTGGAGGTGGGAAATGTAGTTTCTTTAGCCTTCATTTAATTCTAATAAGTGTCTTAAACACTATTCCACAGTTTTGCCCTTAGAAAGCTCATGTGTTTTGCCTCTTAGAGTTCTATATCTGTATTCTAAGTTCAGGTTTTTTATTTTTATTACCCTTTCTTCCCTCAGAGCATAATAATTTATGTTTTCCCCTTTTTGGGGAAGGGGAGCGGATAGGGTGGGCTATTTACTGGATGTTTTTCCCCTTTATTTAGAATTCTTGAGACCGTAGGAAGTATGTGACTCTTCATATCGTTTTTTTTCCCCACCTGAGGATGGATATGTTTATCGGCTTGAAAGGCAGAGAGACAGACAGACAGAGACATTGATTAGGTGCCTCTTGTACATGCCGCGATCAGGGATCAAACCCACAACCTTTTGTTTTACAGGCTGACACTCCAATTAACTGAGCCACTTGGCCAGGGTGTGACTCCTTGTTTTTTTCTTATTACTTACAGTTTAGCAATTCTTACTTAAGAATAACTCTTAAGATGCAAGCATTCTCATCATAAGCCTAATTTCACTTTTTTTTTTTTTTCAGGAGTGGTTTATGAATTTTCTTGCTATCTCTTGGTAGCTTACATTGTATGATACCACTTTGCCAAAGCATGTACAAATTTTTAATGTTCTCTTTTGCTATTCCTCATCTTCATCTAAACACTTTATTTATTTAGCCAGTCCTCTTTGTATCTTGCATATATGTCACATCCTTTTCTTTATTCCTACCCATTTGTACATGCTATTTATCTTCTCTACATGCTCTTCTGCTATCCATTGAATCCTTATACTGTACATAAGCAGACTTCCCTCACAGCATTTTATGTGATTGACTTTACTGCATGATGATCTTTGCATTCTCTGAGCAGAGCTTTTCAGTTGATCTGAATCATTGAATTTTATTTGTAATTGATTATTTTACTTATGAGTTCAAAAACCAAATTATTTTAAAGCATTTAGAATAGTGTGTATAGGACTATATAATTGCCTGCTGTTTATTCCATTTAATATTTATGAAAACAAATACCTATTGTAAATACTTATCTTCTAGGAAGATAAGATCTAACTGAACAACAGACCTGATTATTTGCTTAAGTACATAACTTTAAATTTTAGACTGTAAAATTTACATTTTGTATGTGGAATGCTTTGTGTATTTTATTTACTAACTTACAGTCTATTACTTTTCTTCATTATATCATACTCTAAACCTGGGATTACAAACCATGATCCACAGGCCAAGTCCAGCCCACTGCCCATTTTTGTACATCCCATCAACTAAGAATGGTTTTTATATTTTTTAAGTGGTGAAAATCAAAAGAAGAATAATATGTCATGATGTGTGAAAATTATATCAAATTCAGTTTGAGTGTCATAAATAAATTAACAAAACCCAGCCACACTGATTTGTTTCTGTATTATCTATGTCTATTTGTACATATTATAATGGCATAGTTGAGTAATTGCAACAGACTGTGTGGGTCAAGAAGCCTAAAATATGTACTGCCTGGCTTTTAACAGAAGAAGTTGCTGTTAAGAAGTTCTTAACTCATGTTGCCAGAGCTTCTTAAATTTTTGTTTTCTTTAAAGAGTTCTGTAAGTAGCCTGACCAGTGTGGCTCAGTTGGTTGAGCATCATACTGCAAAATTGAAACGTCGCTGGTTAGATTCCTGGTCGGGGCATACTGCCCGAGTTTTGGGTTCAGCCTCTGGTCAGGATGTGTTCAAGGGGCAACCAGTTGATATTTCTCTCCCTTTCTCCCTCCCTTCCCCTATCTCTGAAAAATAAATAAAATCTTTTAAAAAGGAGTTCTGTAAGTAATTTCCAATCTGCAAATATGGTGATAATATTCTTCTTTTAGAATGCTACTAGCCAGCTTCTGTACTTAGAATCTATATGAGAATCTTGGTGCAAGCAGGTAGCTACTTAAATTCCTAGCTCTGAAAATTTGTGTACAGTCTTCTTTCTATTAAGAATAGAACTATCACTTTAATTTTTTGGTGAAAACATTAGAGGTTTTGGTATAATAACCATTTTCACTGGCCATACTTATTCTTAGTATTGGCCTAAGAATAAATAACGTCTTAAACCTAGTATTACAGTTGGAGGTAGTCATTCCGGATTTTAAAAAGGGTTTATGAATCAGTATCCTTTATTTGCCTTCTAACAATGCTGAATGTTTTGATACCGAACAGAGTAGGAGAAAAGTATATATAAGAGAGATCCATTTTTAAATATTTTCTGCTCTCTCTCAGCCACCAGCCTTCTTTGTTGCTCTTGCAGTATTTCCAGTTTGAAACTGGGGTCGATTTCATTATGTAAACTAGCAGACAGTGGCTCTGTTGTTTTGTAGGCTGCTGTTAGAGGCACTGATTAGGCATTGCTTGGGCTGTCTCTATTAGTTAGTGATAAGTGTCTTTGATCAATCTTGTGAATTCACTTCCTGATCATTTCTCTAAACAATGGTTGGTACTAAAAATGTTTCAGGGCATCATGGAATTTTAGGTTTCTTTATATAAAATG